TTAAAATTAAAAAAGCTAATATCCAACCACAGTGAACTCTAAATCACTAGGTTTCAGCATATCATATCAAGTAGGGCTTCATGCATCGGGAAGTTATAAAAAGTTGGACTTAGCGCTATCAAGATAATGATCTGATTTAAAAAAAAATAACCTGTCAGACAGAACGCCACTGACTAGAGATCCAAGTAGAACTCCAGCCATGTAGAGAGAGATTACCGACGGCTTTTTCCACGCATCATCACATACCCAATTCAACTATAAAATATGTTATGTCAAATTACATATGCCATGTTTTCATGTACAGGAGTCGCAATTTTGCTGTTTTTAACTTTGCAAATTGAATGATATTCAATTCCCTTTTCCACAATAACGGTTATAAAATTTCGAAATCGATGAACGTGATACTAAGAAATTAATAAGGTGATAACGGTATTTAACTAAAGGAACATGTTTTAAATTAATCGCAATAATCGTTAAGCCTAATCCTGTTTACATATTTTCGAGTGAGCCGCTGTTCGTTGTATTTACCGACTCCACGTATCTATTCAGTCTCAAAACCTAATCCGTGTCTAAAATACTATAATATGACGACATTTGCAGCATAGAGTGGTTTGCCCATACTGTATAAAGCGACGAACAATGTTTCTCCGATCTACATTCACAATCACTAATTTAAAACTATATTGAAAAAAAATATCGTATAGGTTTCCTAATTATATATTTGATAATCAAACTTTAAAGAATGAATTAAATTTAAATTAATTCCAGTCTAAATTTATTTGACGAGTGAAAACTGTAACTATTACCTCCATGACGACTGTCGTTTCACCCCACATCGGGTAAAAAGTCCATCCTCCATCACATGGAATTATTGTTCTATTCTTGGTATTTGTGGAGTTCATCGAAGTCTTGTTGAACCTGCAGCAAAACCTTGGTATTATATCACTTACGAAGATTGAAAATCCATACCGATAGATACATATATATATATAATCCCAACGTACTCGGGTGCATATTTCTTGCACTGACTTCTGACCAGTTCCCCATCTTCATTCTGTTCCCACGGAATTAGCTGGTCCAACCACAATTCTTTTCCAGCTTCTGTCAATGTGGTCTGCAAGTATTTTAGTAAAAATTAGTTGCTAAATTAGATTTAATCGCTAATTGTGGACCATTCTGTATTTGATGCATGTATCATTCCACGACTAAAATAGCAATGCAGAATACAGCCTCGTCTATATGGTGTGATAGAATTTTGGGGTAAATCGCTGGTCATAACAATTCATTTTTAACTAATTATTAGATGATATTGTGCGCTATTCAGGTCGTATACCCGTAGTTCGAGGACTAAACATATTGTTTTGACCGTACAACCAAGATTAGATTTCTTACCTTCCTTCATGGTACATCAACTTAGAGGCTGAATTCAATATGTGTAAGCATGTCAAGGTTTGTATTAAAAGAGGGGGGGGGGGGGGTAAGAAAGTAACAGTTTATTGGCTATAGTATAGAGTCTATACTATAGAATAGACGATGGTGTGGTTGATCCTAGATTGCATTATGCACATGCCTAATTGTTTTTAAATTATTTTCAATCTATAAATCGTACCAACAGATTACAATTTCATAAAAATTGTAAATTTCAATGCGCGATTGAAATTATAATTGAAAACATAATTATATGAAAATACAATAAATTCTCACCAGATTATACTTGGCAAAATCAACATAGCAGTGATGCGATGGAGTATCGAGTGTAAAAACCGTTACCATCGTAAAAAGTCCATTAGGTATTGAGCTTATCACAAGCAATCCCACTATTATCTTCTGGTACTTGCCGTAACCACCAATTTTATGCAGAATGTCCTCATACTTCATTTTTAAGTTGACGAAAAACTAAAGTATTCGTACTTATGTCCTGCAGTGCGCAGTTGGTACACAGCTGTTAGACCCGTACAACTAACAAGACCCTGAAATGGATAAAAGTACAGGATGTAAACGTGGCTTTTAATCCTGCAATTATAAATGTTTATTAAACAAAAGATCAATCCTGAAGGTGTTGCGTATATTTGACAGGATTAGAACATGCATTTTGAAACGGGATTTTCAAGACTCTCATACACCAATTATATTATATTTGTTTGTTTTTTAATAGAAGGTCAGTCTGAAAGAAAAAAGGTAACGAATATGGCGCGAGATAGCAATATTTTTAACTCTCCTGGCAACCTCCTTGAACTCTGTGTCCCGAAATTGAATATCGCTCCAAAATATCAAATTATGACGACTTATTTAGCGAATTTTGATAGCAGATTAAAAAGGCTGCTGCTCATAGAATGTATTTGGTGAGAGACAAATCCAGTAATCTTCACTGAGAATAAAGTTTATTCGTGAAAAAGGTCGAAATCTGCCGTTATGTTGAGTAGTTTGTGAATGATCATTGGATGAATTTTGAAAACTTTTTACTCTGATTGTAATTCGCAGAATGGATAACTATATTAACCTATATTTGTTATACGGTTGCTTGTGCTTTATTACAAAGAACTTCAAATGAAATTAGAACATAAATTTAATGATCTTTTACACTTCGCTGAAGCGTTTCTTCGTTCCGGGTTTCTATAACTTTTTCTAAACTATCATTCGAAAAGAAAGCTTCAGAATTTCCTCTACTTCTATACATTTCGGATTTATTTGCAAGGATCGCTTGAAACAATGTAGAATCTAATGTATAATATAGCTGAAATAGGATTGTGTTGCGCTCTATGTCCATCTGAGTCCACTGAACTTAATGCCACTGTAGGACACGATAGACTTTCTCAGATCCACGAAATAAGTTTTTGTCGAACGTAAAGCACACACTTTCATCTGCACTAATATTCCCGAGACACTGGACAAACTGCCAACGAATGTACGCTGTTGCTTTTTCGAGTCGCTTCACGCTCACATATCCTGCGAAATATGTTAAGCTTTTTGTCCGCGTTACAAAGAATTGTTTTTGACCAACTGCTAATCGACAGATTGTCCTATGGGACAATGCATACATAAATAAAATTGGACTCTCGTCGCTATTGGCAGTGTTGCAGTGTTTCCGATACATTGCCACGGATGTAATATTGGGCTCGAAAGAAATATCAAGACAATCAGGATGTCATAATATTGAATAATCATTAATAATGATCTACCATTTGATTTTGTTCGCAGCACTAAACCTGGCATATAGACTTGCTTATTCTGAACAAAATATGTATCAAGTTATTTTGGTAACCCTTGCTCTTTGGAATGATTTGGATCCAGATCAAATATTTCCGAGTTTCTTGACCGCAACTTCAAAGTAAGTCATACTCCCTAGTTTTAAATATTTTATCGTGCAAGTGATGCTAACGCTAATATCAACTTTTGCGTTACCGTATTCTACGAACCATATAGCGCACGGTATTATAAGCCACACTGTCAATAATTACTAAGATTGGATTTTTATTCATACATCGGGCTTTAAGATCAAACGGTTTTTGAAGCAATACCGGTGCATGCTTTGTGTGTAGGCAATAGAGCATACAGCAAAACACTACCTGACATTGGGCTCATCGGCTTATAACGCACGATCGATTTTCGAGGGGGAAAAGGGATCCAAAGTCTATTGGTCCGTAAAGTACGGTTATTATATAAAGTTATATATCACATCCCCCTTCCATGATCTCAACTCGACTTGAAATATCATATTCCATCGTCATTATTTCTATTTTTAAATCCAACCCGAGCTGTGATAATAAACCGCATTGATATATACCTAACGACCCCAATTGAATTTTTTTGTTGTTCTGGTTTATTGTGTCTTTCAGCTCACCTACCTACAGTTTAATTTTGGTGCAGTATTATCACAAGTGCTTCATATTTGGTATATTATATATATCACGTTAATAAGCCGTCAATAATTTGTTAAATAGTTTCAAAACGAACAAATAACCTATTTGAGATTGAAAAATTTTGTATGCTTCAATTTTGCTTATTTTATTCATTCAATTTGGAAGCAAATTTAATGCATCGAGAGTCGTAAGTATTTTGACTACTGGACGCGCACAAAACTTTCAACCATGATGTAAAAATTAACCCATATGACCAAACAATGTCTATCTAATACATGCAAGATGTAAGCAGCAGCCTAGCGCTTCATACAAACAGTCGAAGAAATACTTTTAACCATACATATATATACAGAAATATTAAAGGTTCCTCATTTTAGTTATCAATATTTTCCGTTACAGTCTATATTACAGCGTTGATGACAATGGCACTTTATAATGCTACATTCTGCTGCAGAGGTTCTAAAAACTGCCTGTTTCAAAACACTAGGTCTGCATTTGGTGCCCCTTTGGTATGTGATCTTAGCGCCATAAAACTAGTTTGTTACGTGATCTCATACAAAAGTGGCACCAATTTGGTATGCGTTTAATATCACAAAGACATTCTCAAAGAATTTATTCACTAACCCTGTCATCATTGGATTGGGTTAATACTAAAATCACTGAGATCACACAATTTCTGATATCACACAACATTTGAAATCATATACCAATGTGGTACCTTGTATTACTATAGAAATAACCAGAATAGCACTGAAAAACTGCACGGCATATTTTTCTGATGAAATTCGTGCCACGACAACTCCGGCGCTATGCGGCTAACCCTAGTCCAAAAGCGATACAACGAATGGAATCTATACAAGGGTTCACGAGTTCTACCGTGTTGTTGATGATTGAAATATTTGTTTGTTCCTGATCTGACCTTAAGGCATCATAAAACCTCGCAGAAGTTTAAACGTAACATGAAGGTTGGCGATCTGCTAATTTCGATGCGTCGATGATAAGAAACTATAGTTTGTAGCCCGAATATTAACTTGTATATAAGCTCTGATTAGAATTACGACGTCTTGAATCAATTTTCGTGATTTTAATTTACCAACAATCGGGAAGTGTTTTACCAATGTGTTGCATAGAAATACTGTCTGTTTTATAGTTCTTTAATCAATCTAACACAGGGCATGTCACAAATATGTTTTGTCAATATAACGTCCAATAAGCAACGATACATGGAAACCAACAAAACATAGTGTTGACATACACCTTAAGTATGTATTCAGTGTTGAGGCCAAGAGTATGCTTCGAGGGCGAGGCAATAAATCTACTGGCAGTAGACTTTGTCACAGACATACTATGTTTTCCTACTATACAAAAAAGCTCGAAACGACACCATCTCTTCATCTATGTATAATACGGATGGAATAATACAATGCCTTGTGTGCCATGATTCACAATTCATCATCTACCCCTCGTATGTGTCGAAACCCGGCTCCGTTTTTATTCAATTTCTTATATTTGCTTTCCATGTTTTCGATGAATTCTACAATATCTGGATAGAGCATACTTGGAGCGTCTTTACCCCACATGAAATCCAAATGGTCCCAAGATTTTATCTGTGAAAGGTTTTTTGTAATGTTAAATTTGAATGTCTCTCAACGCTAAAATCTTGTTGCCGGCGACAGAAGTCATTTGGATAAATGTTCATTTGAACAACCGGGCTTAAATTTAAATTTAGATCGAGAATGGATAAAATAAAACAAAACGTAATCATTCTAAAACTCCCAGTTTACCTAAAATAAACATATATATAATTGTGATTCTCAAATACGGTTCAGTGGTCGTTTTAAATAACATACCATACGGAAGTGCACCATACTCCGGAGTTTCGCAGCAAGCATTCTAGCATCTCTCGGATCAGCCAGATCGTCCCTGGATCCCAAAAACAAAGCCACCGGAGTCGAAATCTTACTCACGTCGTATTCAGGAGGAGATTCCTGTCCATACGCTTTCATATTTTCAGCGACTGTTAAAAGCATATAACATAGTCATGTTGCTATATACACGAAAATCGAATTTCACAGTTCCTCCAACCATCTGCGACCAGATAACTCGATGAGTCACAGCCACAAAATGTAAGTATAGTACAACTCGAACGAATGATTTGAGGCCTCCAGAACAGGCCCTGTTGAATATGCGTGTATTATATGCATTAAACTTGAATTCATTATAAAATGGAGTGAATAGCGTTACTTTCAGCCGGTACATACCACTGCAAGGTTATATATTAGCCTTGAAAGTAGAGAAATAAAACGATAGTCAAACTGATAATGGCTAGACACTGATCTAAGAGAAATTTACCTCAATCCATTGCCGACGCATGCAGTTTAGTCATTTTTTGTTGGTAAATTTTGTTATTGTAAATGCGTAATTAGAGTCATATGTATTGACCATTACATATTCTGGGTGGCCAACAACTATACGGTTCATAATTACCACACAATGGCAATGGGACTTTAAGCATAAGTTGATTGTTTAACTGAGTTAAATTGAACCAACATTTGCTATATAGTTCTTTGTAAAATAGTATGGCTGATAGGTATTTTGATCTTCGTGTTACAAGTAGGCTACTGCAGAATTTCATATGCCTACCTGAACCAAAATCCCACTTCTGAGTTCGTCCGGAAGAGACTAGTTGAGACATGTGTATAAAATTATGAAGAGATGTTCCCGACGGAGTTTGTGCTAGAAAAACTGCCAACCTATCTCGGTGATAATGCTTTACGTTGAAACCGACAAGAAATAACAATAAATTATGCCCATGATATGCGAATGAATCATCCTGCGTCATTCTGTAAAATAAAATTATTTGATTAGAAATGCACGAAGAGAGGCGACACCTCAAGGAATTTGGTTTAAAAGATTTTCGTAAATTTATAATCAAACATTAACACCTGTTGGATTAGAAATGTGAATTAACCGCAATACATGAAAGTTCATCACAGCATCCGCCTGTGCAACTGCATTCAAAATATTAATGTTGGGCACGAAGTAAACATATGGATCCCTTTGCGAAAATATTGTTGTTACTGACTGTTTTTGCTGGGATGTTAGGGGTTGTTGTTGTCGCTTATATAGCCTTTCGTCCCATCTAATTCACCCATCGATTTCAATGGCAGCAAATAGACTCAGAACTACTAAAATTTATAGTAGACACGTACATTTAACGATGTATTTTATTTATCAATTTTGTATAAGAAAAATATAAAAACTGAATATTACTTGTGCAGTTTGATTGTGATCCATTTAGAAAGCGAAGTACTTGGCATAATTTCAGCGCCTCCGAACAAAGACACTCCAAATTGCGCAATGTCAGTCAAACCAGAGAACATTTTTATCGGACTTCTTATGTGACCAAGTGTTGCGACTGGCGCCAATCCAAACATCATCTTTATTTTCTTGTTAAAAACGGGATCTTCTGATAATCGAGCAAAAGCTATTAAGGTGCCCTATAAGACAAAGCGAAATGAATAAATTCCAGTAGCCGATCAAACATTAATAATATCACACCGTATGGCAATTTATTGTAGTTAAAGTTATATTTCTAGGAAATGAGCTTGTTGCGTGACATACAAATATCACGTTATTACTGACCATGAGTGACTGTGCAAAAATTTGGAGGTCATGTTTTTTTCAAGTCGAATCATTACGCCAAAGCATAAAATCAATTCTAAGTGTCATTGTCATAAATTGGCGAGGCATTATCGTACCGCCTAAAATGGTTTGTGTATTTATCAGGAATACAGATATAGCTGATAAATAATAATACCTGAGAATGCCCAATGTAATACAGACTAGTTTGATCTGTCAATCGCAGTACTGCGTCTACCATCGCAGGTAGATCATATTCAGACATTTGCTGCCATGAAAATCTCCAGTATTTTTCATCTGTATCGGGATTTAAGTACACATGATCACGTGAGTAAGTGTTTCCGCGGATGTTTCCCATCCAAACATCAAATCCTGCATCAGCCAACACAAAAGCCAAGCTGCGATTCGGCCCGTTTGTTACCCAACATGAGGAATCGGAAAGAATTCCGTGCTGAAGAAAAACGACTGGTCGCTTGTCACGCCCTCTTCTAGTTCGCTTTCCCTTTGATTTTCGACGTCCAGTGTCTGTAAATTACCAATGAACAGTAGGACAGACTTGTAGTCACTTTGAATCTAGGCTCTTGCACATACCGTACAACACTAATTACTATGATATATATACAGCAGTGGTTTTCAAACTTCTTAGTGTTGTGACGCCCTTCAAAAAATATGTTTAAGTTGCGACTCCCCCTGAAAAACGCTTTAATACTAGGGCTGGGAATTTCAGGCAAAAAACTTTAACCGTTAACCGGGTAAAATCAACCGGTTAACCGCAGCGTGACGTTTGACGTAATAAGTTACAATTTTGGATTGTTACGTCACGATGGTTACAAACCAATTTTGAGTGATATTTTCCCGGTATCGCTCAAAATCATTCACGAATGGAGATAGTTTCATGATCGCTCTGCTGCAAGAAAAATGCAGCGTGCTTCGGATATATGGAAATATTTTGGTGAAACCATATTCCGTTAATAGATGTAATTTATGTGACAAATTTTAAGTGTTCGATCTGCAAATTCTACTTTGAAATACGAGGTGCAGCTAAAATGAAACGGGACTGACGTCACAGATTGCGCAACACGATTAACCATCGGTAATCAACACTTTTGCAGTGTGGCGTAATCTTTGTTTAACAGCTGTTTTGACACAATATCGCAATTATTTTTGCTTTTCAGGATCCATAAGTGAATGTGATAAACTTCTTGTTGAAAAAAAAAATGCTGTGCGAGGTCTGATTGAGTTTTTTGGCGATAGTGGGTTCAATTGCAGAATGACGATTGAGCAAAGAATGAACATTAAATTTTGTGTCAAACTTGGAAAAATGCATGTCAACTCGGCATGCATTCAATCGTTGAGCTTTCTGCTCCTCAGTCAACTCACGAGCCTTTGGCATCATTTTGGCACACACCTTTCGCATTCCCAAAGTGTCAACCAAAATGGTGCGGACCGTTTCTTTGTCCATCCCAATTTCGTTGGCAATGACGCGAATTGTTAAGCGACGGTCACTGCAAACCAACTGCCAAACCTTTTCGATGTTGGTATCAGTAGTGGAAGTGCAAGGCCTCCCTGACCTCGGATCATCCTCCACATCCTCCCTGCCTTCCACAAATCGCTTGTGCCATTCAAAAACTCTTGTTCTGGACATGGAAGAATCTCCATAAACATCACGCAACGTCTGCAAAGTCTCAGTCGCCGTTTTTCCAAGTTTGACACAAAATTTAATGTTAATTCTTTGCTCAGTCGTCATTTTTTAATTGAACCCCCTATCGCCAAAAAACTCAATCAGACCTCGCACAGCATTTTTTTCAACAATAAATTTATCACATTCACTTATGGATCCTGAAAAGCAAAAATAATTGCGACATTGTGTCAAAAGAGCTGTTAAACAAAGAACACATATTACGCCACACTGCAAAAGTGTTGATTACCGATGGTTAATCGTGTTTCGCAATCTGTGACGTCAGTCCCGTTTCTTTTTAGCCTTACCGCGCACTTGTTGGATGACATTGAATAGACGCTTTTGCAATAAAATCGTGCACAATATATTCTGACCGAAATCTGATTCTGAACTTATCATTGTGAGATTCTCATAGTCCGTGATATTGGTACTTCAATAATTTTCTGCCGTGCCGTGGTATCAGTATTGAGCTGCTTGAGCCAAAGCGCAGACGAAGTGCTGAACGTTGCTCAACAACGCTCGATGTGTTCTTGTTTATAAAAGGATTAAAATTAATAACATGCATGACTCAAGCATATCCAGGTGTGTGTGATGTATTAATTGGAACACTATCGAATGACCCGTAACATTAGTGAGGTCACATAGTTAAGGTTGAACGTTACAATTTTTAAATTTATTGTCTACTCCAGTTCTCAAGTGTGATTCCAACGAGAATTAGACTTTTTCTACGGAACGCAGTTACAATTACGCGAAAAAGGAAAGTTTTGCGACGCCCCAGAAAAATTGAAACAATGGTTTATTTTAGTTATGTGTTTATAAATTCCAGTAAGTAATAGCTGTTATGGTAACACATGTTCAATTGGTCAAAGTGAACGTTATAGTTTTTTCAGATACTGGAATAAGCCTTCCGCGATGTGCTTGAACAATATAATATAATTATCGCGTTCAACCATCGCATAATATATGCAATGAATAATAACCTCTTGTAGGGACTCCCATAGTCTTAGTTTATTGTGGAATTGGGAAATAAATTCTAAGACTTCAAAGCTGCTCTTCATACAAATGTTTTCGAATTTTTTTCAATTAATTAAGCGTTTTAGCAGGGTTATGTTATCGTACAACTATTCTACCTTCGAATGATTGTAATCTCCCACTTGTCAATTCTGCTTCTTTGCTGCCGAATGGAATCCTGTGCATCGTTAATTTATATCCATCCTTTGTTACCGTGGTGTACACAGCACAAGGATATCCTGTATATCGCACCATCTGAGGCTGAAAAGTTCCAGATATTGTAAAATTACATATACTGCTACAGTTGCAGAGGAACCTTATTACAATTAATTGATCAATGGAATGAATTCTGTTCATCAATCAAACAGATTCACGAAAAATATCACATAATATTTTATAATTTACACCTCATATTGTTTATATGAGATAGTTGATTATACATTACTGAACTCAACAAACGCGATTTGTAACTTACGACTGTCATGAAGCATTCTGGTGGTAATTCCGCTTTGGCTTCCACGCTCGCTTCAAAACTTGTATACGAGTGAATCAGATCAGTCATCATGTCTGAAAATTAAAATAAGTATAAACGTTAAATTCACTTAAAATATACTTTTTTCAGAAAGTTCACGTACGCTGCGACATCATCCATTTATGAAACTACCGTGTTTTCCCGAAAATAAGACAGTGTCGTATTTCAATTTTCTTTCGAAAAATAACACTAGGGCTTATTTTGGGGGCATGTTTTTTATGTAGACAAAGTAGAGAATTACGAAATTTTCAAATATGCAAAAATATGAACCGTGTCTTATAATCTTCACGTTACCTCGGGTGATTAAACCTTTTCCTCTCTCACACGTTTTAGACTAATCATTTGAAACGTGTAATAGGGATGGGCCGGGATTCGGATCCGGACTCGGATTCGAGTCGAATCCAGGCATTTTTTGGACTCGGATTCAATTTCGAGTCCACGTCATTTTTACCGAGTCCATGATCAATTCTGTTTTTACTAATTTACGCCTATGTTTGTACTTTTGCCTCTATAAATCCCATGACATACCTTAACTAGTTAAAATTCAAGATTAGATCTGTAACAATATACCTCGTGTGCATTATAAACACTCCTAATAAAACGACGACAGATATCCAGATAATATAACGAAAGTTGAAAACTATTGATCGCTTATAACAATTATTTTGCGCCAGTCGCCTTCAAACTATCCATCCATTTTGGTATACATGTGGTACACAATAAAATATGTGTTATTGCAATATTTTTGAGTTTTTGATTCGCGTAAAAATGAAACATGCTCTGGATCAACCCAATGTGAAATCTCATCAATACCTCTTTTAAATCGAGTTTATTGCGTGCAATCCTTTCGCTAAAATGGCAATGGAAAGCATGGAGAGTTTTAGAACGTTTACATGAACTACTAAATTGCAAGCAGGTGTACCACATTGTATTGACGACAAGTGGCATTTTTCTACCATGTGCGCACATGACATAGTAAATTTACGGCTAGAAATATCTGGAATTATGGAAAAGCATTGTGTTCGAAAACTTTTTATTTTTCATATTGACGTGTAAGAATTTCTGAATAGCCGCCCAGAATTGACGCAAGGTGGGCTGGAAATCCAGTTCACAGCCAAGGCGCACATTGGCCCACGTTTACGTTTGTATTATGGCCGCCAAAAAAGAGAAAAAATATATATTTAAAATGATTCAACAGCTATTTGCGGAACCATTAGGCAAAAAATATAAGCTACGACGTATGTTTGTGAACGCACGATGCTGTAGCAAGGTCAAAAGCACGTTTTTCTGCTTTTCCATTATGACGTTACGGACTCGGCAGATTCGATTCGAGTCTTTAACCTATTACTCGGATTCGTCGAATCTCTGTAATGCCGGACTCGTCCAATCCCTAACGTGTAATAGAGATTTCCTGCTATCGACTGGGTCAAAAAAAAATTCGCGCTATCGACTAGGTTGTATTTTGAGGGGGAGGCGTATACTAAAATCATTTTTACAATTTAGGCTAGATCTTATTTTCAGGGAAACACGGTACATTGCTTTAAGGATTTTCTTCGGTGTAGACATTGTTCAGTCTGAAACTTTACATACCTGATGTCACTAACCCCCATATCTATATTTCACGACCTCTACTTCAAATCTAAACAATCTGGATTGTTATATTAAAGAATGGTTTAATTACCTATATTACTGCTATACGAATCGGATTCAACCCCATCATCGGCCACGTCATTATCCGCAAACGTCATGATATCATTCGTAAATTTCTCCCAGTTCCAATATTTCAGTCGACTTTGGATATAATCTGAATCGAAGCCGTAGTTGGAAAGATCCGGCAAGCTGTTCGGCAACCCGATATAGTCAAATGAGTCCGCAATGACCTATATTCACAACAAATTTGTTAAGAGACGTGCAATACCTCAGAGCCTCGGTTTTGACTCATTCCTGAAAGACTCGCTCGTAAAAAATGACACAACAATAAATGATAATTAAAAACTTTTGCCGTTTGAGTGAGTTCAAATAAACTCTGAGTGTGGCTTTTTTAGATTAAGGCTTACAGAACACATTGGGGAATTGTATGCAAGTATCTTACTTCTGCGAATTGAGATCCGGCCCGAAAGACATCTTTCCAACCTATCGGCGATACACCAGGCAGCTCCAGGCTAATGACATCATCTGATGAATTCAACACTCGATGAAGTCGATCCGCCATGACATTGTTTTTGTCATACGCTGTGTAAAAAGCAACGTTGGACGTAAGTAATAAAACGGTTAGGAGAACACGCCAGTTGGAAGAGTATGGGTAACATTCCTCGATGGGATAAAAGGTAGAAAAATAAAACAACCCATCCATTAATACAAACAAGCAGCTCAACAAGTTAGCCATGTTATCACACAATATGCTTTAACTTTGTACATATATATAGGTATATATATATATAGTTTAAATTGAAAAAGTACATGAAAAACTGGGGACATCCCAGAAGTTTGTGTTCACCAATATGGAAGTGACTAACTTTGTTTGCCTACTTTACATCAAGTTGTGTAAATGTAAAGGGACGGAAACAGTGGTGAGCTGTAGCCGGAACGCACCGGAACGGCGTTCCGTTTGTTGGACATTTTACTGCATTTGCGTTCCTGTTGTTGAAATAAAATTGTGGTACCAAAAGTCCAGTTTCTCTGGTATAATTCGTAAATCTTTTACGTCACATCACGCAAATAATTAGTACAGTACAGCAGTAACGTGTAATAGATGTTTCCCCGACCTTTGACCCCATGAAAATCCTATATCTTTCTAATAATAAGATTTGTATTGAATTGCTATGAATACTCTTATAATTTTACACAAACATATTTCATATAATTCCTTCGTAGTTCTGTAAATTTCCGCGTGGTGTTGTTAATATATTACATTTTTGCGAATTAGGTGCGTTCCGGTTGTTACAATTTTTCCAGCCCATCACTGGACGGAAGCATGTGGGCAGGGGTATATTCACTTGGGTAAAATAAAAACAGTCTCCAAACTCGTAATAGAACAAAAATAAGGAAAATCGGAATAAAATTATGGCCTAACCCTAACCTGGTACACATACTACGGGAATACCAAAGAGGGTATGGTGAAATTTCATGATCCCAAAAATATCTTCAAGACGACGATACTAGGAAAAAACGAAGGGCAAATTAACAGAATTGCCCGTCAGCAAACAGGTGACAGGTGATTCTCATTGAGAACTTCTTGCGTTAAAGCTAAAATTGACTTGACTACAAGAATAATACTAGCCTAGAGGTCAATAGCATATCAACAATCTTTAAAGATTACAGGCCGATTTAACTAGCTTTAGGAAGATTACGTCTTAAATAATAAAAAACTTAAATGCCCTATCGCATGAATACATTGTATGACACTAAGTGTCATGGTATCACCAAAGCATATTTTGTGTTGCCATCTCAAACTAAAAAGTAAAATTCTAACCATAATCGCTGTCAATGTCGCCTGCAGCCGCCTTATAGAGACTTCCCAGTGCTGAAGCGGTAGAATCCAAAAAAGTACCGGTAGCACATGGATAAAATACACTCATAAAGATGACAAAAACTAACATTGATCGCATGTTGAATTGAACTAAACGACTGCATTCATGCATTATACGTGAGTGACTGACTGGTTGCATTCATTGTATAACGTATAACAACGACCTTTGTGCGGTGGCATATATTCGACAATGTACAAACAGAAAATGAACAAATGAAATGATGCGTGACCGATTTGTGTAAACGGGGTAAACAAGATGTCTTAGTATTTCCCATGATGATTTACAGTTATTCCTCTCAATCTTTTTCCTCTGGCAGACCTATAACATTAAAAATGTACTAATGGACCGGCAACAAAATATGGAAATGAATGGAACAGCTTTCGTATCATAATCATAGCAATGCTTTGATATAGATACATAGCCACATAGAAACTGGCAAATGAACATAATACAATTTTACTTCACATAGGGTGAATTTACGAAAATTTTGGAATTATTTAAAGCCAAGTTATCGAATGTGTGGCAGAGTTGCATCTGTCTTTAATGTATTGTTAACTTGGAGTAAGTAAATAAAGGGCATATCATAGAATATAGATGGATATTATTCTGAATATAACGAAAAATGATGAAAATCTGATAATTTTTTATATAGTTCAATTTTATGCAATATTTTTCCAAAAAACGCCTTGGAAATATTTGCAAGTCCCGGAACCTATTTTTTTTATCACTACCCACATATCATTTGTTGTTAAATTCTACACCATTATATATGTTTTTGATATCATACAAAGTCAATTTTAAATTCGGCGGAACGATAGAACAAAATTAATCCAAACATGACAAAAGAAAAGAAAAAAAAGTTTTCACCATATTTTCCAGAAACTAAAAATAAAAGATATTGAAGAAAAACACAATCACACCATATTGACACATTCCATAGAACTTATAACTGAAAAGTTACAAAATCCTAACAATAATATTAATATGCAACGTTTTTTATTCTTTTTTGTTCAGGAACCCTTCAAATTTTGGACACAATCAATGCTCCCATATGCAAAACAAATTGCAATACTCAGTATTTATGACTCAATGCGAGGGTCGTTGCTGTTTGTCTGCAGCGAGGAAATGTAATTTCCTGGTGTTCAGTAAACCGACACGCTAGACCTGATTATAGAATTAAACCTAGTGGGAGTAAAAATATTAGTTCGGAAAAATATGTTTGCTTGCAATTATAGAAAGATAAGCCCTAAAAGGTCTGCATGGTCCTATACATTTTACTCGATTGTTTCAATTAGCTTTTATTCTGCGGACCCATTAAGTAACCATCGCAGATCCCTTGGGATATGATGAGCAGGCCACAACAAACGGCAAAATAATTTAATTCTTTCAGCCCCACCGGCGCTACTTCTATTTGGAACGAATGCGGTAATTTTGTAAATTTAAAAAAATCTTTTGTTAATTTTTATCATCATGCTCAGAATTTTTCTCGAATTTTTGCATTATAGAATAGGAAGTGTAGGTTTCTTGGGGACAGTCTTCGATTTAATCTTTGTTTCATGCTATCACAGGTTATCCAGATTCTGGATGTGATGTATGTATACGTGGCGGTCATGATGACCCAATCTTGCAGAAAAAAGCCTGAATTGCAAATTTATATATTTTTTTAATCGAAAAAAAAAAATTACTATTATTAAGACAGAAGTTGATTTTATAATTGACAACGTAAACAATGCTTAGGTATTTAAAAATGGCTTTGCAATTTGATCCGTTTTAAAATGGCGGAAATTTCGACCAAAATTTTGGAACATTAAGCTTGTTCGTCGAATAGCAGAATGTGCCACCAGCTTAAACTCCGAATACGTTATCGAGCATTTGGGTCGATTCATGTTCTTAAGTTTAGTAGTATAATGAGTAGACGTTGCTCTCTTATATTTTCTGCGTAACTAGAGCATAGTATGGTCACGCTAAGTTATAATATTTATGGCAGGAGTTTCTCAGTAAATCAATGGAGTAGCGTTGCCGAAATACTTTCAGAGTGAATTAAATCAAATATCCTAAAGCAGTGTACAACATATTTTTGTCAGTGGATCATATAATCAACTTCTGACATTTAGCCAGGGCCACACAAAAAATTTAGTTAATCCATGCGGAAACGGCAAGAGAAGGAATGTGGCTATCGCTTAGCTTTACGATATTGAAAGCACCGTGCTAAACGGCGAAAGATTTAATCGCAGCGACAAGAGAAAAAACGGTAAGGAATTTTTACCCACTTTTTAAAAATAAACTGTCGGATTCGGATTTTATGTTTGACGGGGAAAAATCTGAGTATTGACGAGAGCCGCACTAAGGGGCTTGGCGGGCCGGCTTGTGGCCCGCGGTCGCCTGATGCACACCCCTGTCCTAAAAGAATGTTATGTTTGTCTATCTCCCAAGTGTTGATTTATTTCAGTTAAATGTCTCTACACCAAGGTGTGTCGTAAGAATTCCAGAAGATGAAACAATCAAATCCGAATCGTGTGGTTTATCTGATTGTTAGGTATCGGCAAATGAAGCAATTTAAGACAAGTGCGAGGAATGTCTTTTGTACAAACTACTGTTAAGTTCTTATAATCTGTTCCATTTAATTACTACTTTTATACAACAAGATCAACTATTATTCACAGATCTTGACGTAATAGCACACCATTACATGAATAAAAATTAATTTGCTCAAACTAAAATGAAAATGTGTCTTGAGATGAACTTGCGGAAATGTCCTTTCTATACACGCTTGCCAATCAACTAGTAAACCACGTAAACTTAGATAACTATGTTTCAACTTTTTTATAACTTCCTTGTAGGCGCCAAATTCATGCACTATTTGTTGGGCAAAAATATAATTGCCAAATTTAACCGACCGGTATAAAAATAAAATAATAGTCATAAGTTTTAAAAATAGTACAACCTTTTTTGTTTTCCTACTATAAACGACAACAATAGTTTATATATAGGGTGTCCAAAAAAGTTTCGCCCGATTATATCTTTAAAATCAAATGTTATTTTTTTTAATTTTGAAAAAGATTCATAGTCAACCTGTTTCTAGTTGGATGTTATAGATGTTGAATGCTGTAGTCCCCATTTATCATACAACCAAATTTATTCGAATTTGCAATTGGTAATGCTATGAAATCGGTACATTGTACGCATTATCTTATAAATACCTTTTATGGTCGGTCAGCACCACCATATCAAATTTCCTATGTAAACTTTTGACAAGACTTTGTAATAGTCATGTAGTGATTTCGTCTATAAGGAAATGATTGTGGGTAACTATTAAAAATTCCAAATGAGTTGGCATTACATCATCAGACAGCGATGCAAATTGCCTTCGGCACTCGTTTTTTCCTTTACTTCCTGACGTTTTTAAGATATTTCAATATAAAGCAATGGAAAAAGATCCAAACTGCAATAGGAGGACAGCTTGATTAGTGTTATAGTATAGAAATTGCGTATAATGGAGCGAATGATCAATGTATAGCGAGTTATGACTGCCATGATTTCTTTTCAACTTGTGTGGATTTTAAATGCGAAAAGTATTGTCGAAATAATAATACATGAAAGTTTGTAAAATACATGAAAGTTTGTATTTCACAGTGATGCAGATTTCACAGGAATGAGTCCTGGTTTGTGGTTATTTACCATAATTGGACGCGCTATTCAATAATTATGACTGTGCCAGTAATTCCGCCGCTTTAGATCTCCTGATCTAATCAAGAAAGCCATCAGTTCTTGCTTGTCAGTGCAAAGTCTACTGTGTCGATGAGGCCACCACCTGCGATAGTATGATCTAAGAATTTTCATCAAATCCAAGAAAATGGCGCTGATAGGAGAGATGGATGACTTATGTAAAGAAATATCAGACTGATGCTTTATTAAAAGTCGCCGAACGACAATATGTGGCATAATCCGACATCAAATTAAACGTGAGCTTCTAATAAACTGTAGAAAGTTACTCAACTAATTTAAAAATGGTTCTTATTCATTTTTTCAATCAAACAACGCATTAAAAAGAGTGATGCTTTATTAAAAGTGGCAAAAGGCCAATAGTAACACTTTGGTTTGTCTGGGTAATTGTTTCCTAAAATATTCACGGAAACATTTAATTTAATAATACTGTATTTAAACGCTATACGCTTACAGTAGACAAATGAAGTGTGTAGACTAGAGTTTAGAGAATTGACAAATATGAATATAAATGGTATCATTAATTCAAAATCATTCAACTCTGTGCTTCTTCAAACTGCAGAAAGCTACTCAACTGATTCCAAGATAGTTCTGATTCGCCTTTCTCAATCACGAAAGGCAAGACAGGTTAGGTTGCAGGTTTATATGTATACATTTACTCATGAGCAAACTAATGTAATATGATATTTTGTTAATACATTTTCCTTTTTTGAAATGGAGTGTCATTTTGTACGGCGACTGTACATTAAAACGGCAATGAATTGTGTAAAGAAAGATTTTTTTCTATATGATAGGTCTTGTTCTAGGTATGGCAACAAGTGTTTCATTATCTTGACTGGAAATATAGTGAAGCAAGGTAACAAGTCAACGTTGCATTTCGCGAGGTATATTTCGTGGTATATTTCAGTTCGACATAGTCTCAGCAGTTTCTCATGATCATATGTACGGATTATTAATCTTGGCTAATCAGGAATAAAACCGGAGGTGGGTGGTGTCATTTGCTAACCGATATTTACTTTTCGGCCATCTTTTTTCACCGCGGTAGACTGATATACCTTGCTATAGATATAAACGAAACGTTGCCAAGCAGAGATCACAAAGAACTTACTTGTATACTCAAGGAATATTATATTAATATTTTTTTTTTATTGAGTGCAGTAAAATACCATCAAGTACAATTTGGAGGTGATAGTTGCATTGTATCCTACGACGAATCCACGAAAGTGGAACTATTAAATTTCAACATAAATATTTTTACTCAGTACCGAACTAAGTATGATATTTTTGTTCAAAGCCGATTATTGTTACTTTAAACTGGGATGACATTCTATGAATATCCATATACCTGTGTAAAATCTGGCCTATTTTCAAAGTGTGCAAAACCAGCGATTCCAATACCATCGGTAAAAAGATGTCGCGATCCAATGAACAACATGATCCAATTTAATTGAATTTAGGTTTTGATGATTTCGAATAACGCGAGCTTGAAATTCGACTATGACTAAACTTTGGTAGTCTTCGTGAATTTTTTTCGCTGTTACGAAAAAGTTTTATTGTATGAAAACAATTGACTAATATCATGTGGAAATTCTCCAACAAAAAATGTATGAAACGTCAAAACCCCATTGTGTGTTTCACGAATACTAAAGTCATACATTCATGACTTATACAAGACTGTTGCATTCAATTTCGCGTACAAAGTAGGTATTGTACATTGCATGACGAACAACTCCGCCGAAGGGTAAGTTTCAGCAGGTCTTGTCTGGAATTACCGCTGATATCAGTCGGCATATTATGCGCTCAGTTACGCTCAACACAAGCGAGGAAACTTGCTTACGGGATTTGTATAACGCAGCGTAAAATTAACAAATCAGTAATCATTATTGTATGGTTTTTCTTGTTTTCAGATAAAGTATGCCTTAACGATATTTTAGTGTGTGCGCCCAATGCCTAAAGAAACGACTGTGGGAAAAACCGTAGATAACATTTTATCAGCGAAATGTTTACAAGAGATAAAAATGGCTGTATGAAGAAGGTTCAAAATAGCAGAAAAGAAGTGAAGACGCGGACACTAGAAAGAAAAGTTCACATAGAAAATATACGAGACTATACTATAAAACTGTGCCTTATCATAGCTATCATATTATGTTGTCAAGTTTCAACTTCTTACGCCAACATGTGCAATCCAAAAAATGCCTCAACGTGTAAATATATGGGAAAATGTGTGAACATCAGACTATTAAAACAATACTATCCTCGACAAACCCCAGTGGGAGAAGAATTGTACATATGTACTTGCCCACTCATGTCATGTTATACTTTAGCAATGGATGCCATTTGCGCCGACACTGGAACATCAAAAGAGTAAGTTGTTGTTTAGTTTTCGAAAACAATGGGTACCAAACACACGATGATACAGAAAATTAAAGCGGTCAGGCCTCAAGGCGCTTTCAAATCAAAGTTGTACCATTTGGATTTATTTTGCTGGAATTCGTTCGGAGATATATTGTAGTTGACATACTACAACAAAACAAAACCGCTGAACTCGACCTTCAAGTTTAAGATGTTTACTTTTAAGTGCACTTGAACTAATTATAATTACATAACGTGCCAAAACTTGAACATCGGTGAACTACTATTTAGAAATGGGATCGTCTAGCTAGATTAAAAACACCATTTAGAGTCTGAACAAGTTATCACACCCGTAACTAGCTGATTGATACGTCTTGCTTAATGGTTTTACCGGATTCAAACCATATCGCATATCCAAAATGTTCGTAATCCGAAATGTTCGTATATATTAAACTTTTTTTGAGGGGAATATCACGAGGGTGTCATAAACTTCCCGCTAAACGTAATGGAGTGTGATGGAATCGAAGAACATTCGCTTATTTGAAAACAATTCAAATTAGAGTTAACAAAGCCTTTGGTAATCAATAAATTAGTTGCATTTTCAATTTTACCAAGTTTTTAAGGCGCCTTACCGTAATAAGACACAAATTCGAGATACCAATTATATATACCAATTATTCATGGTAGGAAATTCTTTTTGATGTTTTATTTACAGTAACATTCGCGTGTATAAATGAACCGTTGGATCAAATACTAATATTTACTTCCGCTAGTCTATCAGTGATTGTGTGCGCGAGACACTGTGTGCTGCTACACTGCAAATTTCCATAAAATGAAATTCTTTGCAGTGGAGTCGTCACCATATAAGATTTCAAATGTTACTTATGATTTTTTTATGAAGTAACATTCGTAATATCACATACATGCTTACATCATATATTGTCACGCTAATAACCGAATTGCGTAAGTCATTTTTAGCAGTTTTGAGAAAAACGTGAAAAACTTCCTAATGATATTGTTATGCCATAGAGAGTCAATCATTTGCCATGGTTCAATTTTTTAATCGTAGCCGGATTCAAGTTAATTTGTATGACGCAGTTAAGTGACGTCATAATGGCGCACTGTGACTTGGGCAGAAATGTGTCTATGACTTGGGGACATACGCAATTTTGCAACTTCACTATATGCACCAGTCCTGAAAACTGAACATCCCAACAACGAATGTAATTTTCAGTATCTACAATGTCTAATCCCCGAGATCGCTAATCAGTTTCAATTACATTATTTTTTTATGTTTAAAAATATAAATTTTATCAATATAATACGTTATGCACACCCACCGAAATAAGACTAAGATTAAATATAAAGAATAAAACAACAATGCACCCAATATAAAAGCCAACCAAGGTGAATTGGACTCGGACAGTGAATATCGCAAGTGCACACCTTCCTATACTGTAGTATAAATTAAATCAATAATTCATTGACGAAACAATTGCACAAATGTGCATGTCATACTAAATCTCCATTTTTATGGGTTTCGGAATTCTTAAAATAAAATCTGAGTTAACAGACAAGCACAGCATTACATAAATACCTATTTTATAAAAAAAAAACTCAAAATCGCCAAATATGTCTTACGCAATTTGGTTATTAGCGTGACGATATGCTAACGAATATCAGGCCAAATATAGCCGATCTACCCATAGGCGTATAAGATTCCACAAGTAAAATACAATAAGTTTAAAAACTATTGGTTAAGTTATTATACATGGACAATATTTTTGTATCAAAACAACAATTTAGCCAAACGAACCACTTTTCGATAATTACGTTATTTGGAGTTAAATTATTTAGCCATTATGTCAGTCAAGAAAACAATGAAACTTTGACTATTTGTTGCGAAAACTGGGGATAAGCTGGAGTTAATATTAATATAAGGTACGGAATTTGATTCAATCTTCAGAAATGAAATATTTTAAATAATTAAAATATTTTTCTGTCTATATTAAACAGTAAACCGCGAAAAAGCATAGGCCAATGGATTCAAGATCTTTCTGATGCTTGAGTTTATTATCGGATCATTTTTACCAAATGAGACCCAATGGTTCAGAAAAAAATATAATTTAATAGCTTGAGTCACACATGAATACCATTTTTCACTTTTTGTGTATTTTGTCCGCTGACTTCAGATAGAATCACTGAGCAAATTTTTTTCCTTTGATGACTAAAAAGATTTAACTTGATATTGTTTTACGCTTTTCTCACTAAATAACATACGTAGGTGTTCAGAGAATGTTTGAATAATACAGATTACAAATCATTTGGTGTTTTTTAATGTGAATTTCACTAGAAGTTCGGGATTCGCTGACGGATTTATTAAAAGTATTACATTTTAACCAATATAACCATTAAATATCGTGATTTTATAAATGGCGTTGATAGTTCATGACTTACATTCATGATGCCGTCGCGAAAAAAATAGTTCGGATATTGGAGTATTTACCATATCACAGTTGATGTACTGTAAAACCCGCTACAAAGGAACACGAAACGAAACTTTAGTCACCCATTTTGTTTATACCGACAATCTTTGTCTCATCGTGATCAGGCATTTGGATCTTTGGAGAAAATTCTTGTAGTTCCCTTCAAGATCTATGTAATAAAGCATCTACACGAATATACTGCTAAACAAACTAAGATGTTTTTTTAATGATTTTCGATAAAAAAGTTTGTCAATCTTTTCTGTATTCCGGTAAAAGCACCAAAGAGGTTGAAAGTGCGTTTCAAGCTTAATGTTACAGCTTGCGGGTATTTCGTTGGCAAGATGATACGGCCTAATATTGAATCATTGTCGCTTTTGTTATTTACTAGATGAAAACAAAAATAAATAAAAAAGATTGAATTTTTTAATCGAATTTCTCTGCAACATTTTAAATTTATGATATATTCTGAATTATATTTCCATTTATAATTGCGACTAGTGTATAAAATATCGACTAATCAGATATACGACGTTATGATAACGGGGATAAAATCTGACATTTTCGAAACATAAATGTTGACATTGATAAGAATAATCGAATCAGTATTTGTGTTTTGATTTCAAATATGTACAGAAATTACAAATAAAGCGATGTTTGTCTTTGAGCAATGAGCCCCAAAATCGAACCATCATCATCTTATCAACTCGCGGAAGATTGTTTTCCATAATGGTTGAAATTACGGGACTTTTGTGTGTAAATTTTTACATGCAATCGCTAACTAATTTCGATTTATTTGTTTTATTATCCAGAACTTTTTACAACGATATGTGCATGAGGTTAGCCCAGTGCGAAATGCAGAGGCCTTTCAAAAAAGTATGCAGAGGAGTATGCGGGGACAAAAATTGCCGACGTGAGTATTGCCTCATTTTATAAATGGCAGATATTTTGTATTGTGCTCCCGTGGCAAACAAATTCTATATAAATTTTTTGATTTGAGTATCCCAGAAATAGGTGCTTGAACTAGCGAATAGGACGCAACATGCACCAACAAGCACGTCTGTGGTTTAGGAGAAATTTGGCATGTTTTCTCTGGAGTCGTATTTTTCAACTCCCCGGAGTTTGAGACGGGGAATTCTGCATTCTCCGGATTCGGATTCGAAATATCGGATTTTTATTGGCGGTATAAGAGATCAAAATTTACTACAGAAATCCAAGGCCATTGAGTTTGCTGAGTGTTCCTAACTTTCTGGTAAAGAACGCTTACACACGCTAAAATCATTCGTTATCAAAATTGGCTGAAGCTGAATGCAAAAAATATTTTAATCTGGAGGCGGATTCAAAATTTTTCTCAACGCGTAGAGTCGGACCCAACATTTTTTTTAACCGATTCGTAGTGGAATGTAAAAATTCCCCCAACTTCGTAGTTTTGCCAGCAAGTACAAAAAAAATAAGGAACGGGGACAGTATTCTAGAATAGGTACTTCTGCCCTATGGAACTCTCTAACCTCCATCCTGCACTGATCCACCGTATTTATATGAAAACAGTCAATATTACGGGAAAAGCTGAGTTCGTACGAATCTGATGTTTTGATTCACCGAGAACGTGATAATGTCGCATTTGTGCTGCATTGCAGAAAATCAAACGTTCAAAGCTATGAAATCGACCGACATGATCTGGCATAATACATCAGTATAGATAGAAATCTTTAACATCTGAATAGGGTCGCTTGGGGGCAACAATAATAAATGAGTGCATCAACTACAATTGGCTAGGTTGCTATGGAAAATAAATATTGTATTTAAGCCGGCTATTAAATCTGTTTGTTTTTTTTTGCCCGACAGCTTCTTTCATTCTTTCTATTTTATTGCCGCATTGTATTCATTGTTAGGCGAATAACACGGACTTTAGAAATTTTGACGCACGTCAAGTACGATCATAAACAAAGATAAGCTGAAACCTGGTACGATTCTTTCAACTTTCGACCTTACGCACGAGTACATGATCGGATTACATTTTTGGTCCTTGTATGCAGTGATACTTAAAAATGTACGATGCAATTTATTTCCAATTTGTCCAAAAATAAAGGAGATTTTGAATACCGAATGGAATTTTCTACGAATGTAATAAGAGGTTTAATCGGACAACTACACGAGCAGAATTATCGTGTTTTCATTCTGTAGATTTTTATCACTAAGGAAACCTAAAATCAGGTATTAACCTCAAAAATACCTCACTAATAGTTTCATTTTAATTCCCACTAGCATTTTACGGTAATTTAATCTGCGCCGCAACGATGGATAATGGATTAGTGATAGTCAAGCATGGAACGTTCAGTAGTGTACACAATCACCGGAGGCCGTTATTCCGCACACGAAAGTCCTGAAAGCCAGGGATTATAAACGTAAACAATATCAATGAAATTACCAAATGTAGCGATGACTATTCTGGATTTCGTAAATAGAATAAGCTGAATGACATGTCTTGTTTTCAAAATAGAGAATTAATCTTGGCACACGCCTAGATATTTCAAATAAATCCGCAGAGTTCGTTTTCCCAAGAATCAATGTTTAATTGTAGCCTGGGGCGCATATTAAATGAATATGTACTTTTGATTAGTCAAGTAAACTTCTGAATTATAGATTAACACAAGATATTTTTTAATACTGATAGTTAAAGTTTATTGTAAAACTGCTGTATTAATCCGCCACGCCTAACCTAAAATTAATCTGAATGAACAGCAGATAAGTTGAAACAAACCAGTTTTTGACCTAAAGGCTTCTTTGTGGCAAAGATTGCATTGAAGAACATGTTAACAAACTCACATTATATATTAAACTTGGGTGGACCAATTTGCAATATGCCTCTTAATTTTTTATTCTCAAGTTTGAAGGTAGAAATGCGCCAATCCACACATGCACAGTAAATAATTGCAAGCCTGATGTTCATATGTGTTATTACCGTTTGTACCAAACGACTATTTTACACTGATGGGCCTGATGGATCGTTTTGCTGAATTGATGACACTGACTGGTTGAATGATTTTAGATTTAATTTTAAATTAATATATTCTCTACATTTTTAATGATGCTTATAACTGGTGTAGTTTTGTGCACCAGGACTATGATATTAAGCGTTGGGTGTTCAAATGCCTCTCCCCGTTATGAGGACGTATTCCATAACAAAAGATATAGTTCTGAGATTCGTTAGCAAATTAATAATATTTGAGTCTTTTGTTTTCAGCATTTGAAAAAGAACCTAACTTGAAAAATTGTCCCGAAGAAAACGAAGATTACTGCCATAACAGAGGAGTATGTTTAATGTTCAGGGACGGTCCCCAAGATCCTTTCTGCAGGTAATCTTTTCAATCGAAAATTGCTTAAAGAGTCAGTACTCAATTTGATAGTTGAAATTATAAAAGCTCTTAGGGCTGTTTATAGTTTTGACAAAAGTTTATGACTTGATACAAAGATAAGATCTTAGTATGAAATTTGATTTCCTTCGGGGATTGTCACGTTTTGGCCTTAAATTATATGATGTCGTTAATTGTTTCACACAACTTCAAAACAAGTTTAGTTGTAAATTGAATTCAGAGTAATATTTCAGTACCATACTAATCAAATGTAATTATTCAAAAAATCATTTTGTTTAAATGCAAGATTCTAATTGAATCGTTAAGGTTGTTCCAAATGAATTGTCACGTGAAATATTTCTAGGTGCCAGAGAGAATACACAGGACCAAGATGTAAAGAGAGGCGCGTCTCCACTCTAGTGAGTAATTGAATTAAAGTACTACGACACTGACTTGCAAGGCAAGATCACGCATCATCGCGGATTTATATCTATGTATTATCTGACTCCCATATTTACCGGGCTTGAGGATTTAATAAATTAAGGATGTCGAACCCAAAGTTCTATTGTTTCTGCATATAAGAATAGCGTTTCAACTCATAACACACCACATAACATATGACAATAATAGCAATATAATAATGCAAAGCCTGATTTATTTCAAACTATTTATTTATTTATTCGAGGTGCAAAGCGTTACACGTAATTTTAAACATGGAAATACGGAGTTACGTAAAAGGAATATATATAACTTGAAAATAGGAAATTGAACTTTTCCTAAAAAGTTCTTCCGCTGTTGGTAAAGTTATAAAGACAAGCTCAACAGAGTCTTCTTTCCCTGCTAATAAATGTTGCCATGTGATGTACAAAAATTTTACGTCTTCCGAGAACGCTCTAAAAAATTAATGTCCTATTTTTTCACGGGATTGAATATTTAAAATTCTCCTAGGATATAATCAACAGTTTTTCATGTGTTAAGAAAAGATTTTTGCGTGCGCAACACCTTATTTCTAATTTACTGATAAATTGTAGCTCAGTTTTACGAACAAGTCGAATGTAGGAAGTACGTGTATATAAATTTAATAAAAAATAGGACGTGTTTACTTTCACTGAGCGATACATTTGTGGCAAAGAATATTTCATTGTAGAGCTTTGTTAAACAAGAGAGCTACGCACAAATATATGGACACGGCAGACCAGAGCGAATCAGTCCTTACCGGTACCTTTGACGCTACCGGTACCCTCAAAAAAGTTCTGAATTTCCAGTAGCAAGAATTTTGCAGAATCAAAACGTACAGCCAGTCATGACACTGACTAAAATCCGTGTTCCCATGGATAAAAAATAATACAGCAAAATGAAATAGACGAAATATCAAATTTCATAGAATTCACGCAAAATTTTGAAATAAATAAAAGTAATAGCCTTCTAGCGAAAAAATTAATCTTCAACCACGGAAAATTTCAAAGCAATTGGTCCAGTATTCGAAGAGAAAAGCGACTTTTTAAAAACGTGTCAAAGAACAAGAACAACAACAACAACAACAACAACAACATAATATTGAAACGATCGTTATGTCCACTTCGTGTTCAATAACCATCCGTTCTGAACGACCTCAAAATTAAAACAAATCATGAAGTAGGCTATGTCTATTTCGGCAAAAAATTGTGAACAAACGTCTTTATCCGCATTCGAATGCAGTTTGATGTTTGGGAAACGAATGACTTGAGTTACCAACATTTTTGAGGTATCATATCATCTTCTGGATCTCCACTATGAAATTTTTATACATAAAATAACGGTTACTTCAGGCACCATTGTGACACTACAATGACTATTCCCACACAGGGTATTGGTATCTTAGGTTACACCACAATGATCATTTCCTACAACGTTGTACAAAATTAGCTTCCTTTTTGTAAAGATCTGGTTGCGCTCCTAGATTCAATACGATGGGGTTCGACATACTTGTCGTGCAAAATCGGTTATGACGTAAATCGTATTGCGCTGTTTATGTTTTACGTCATTTCACCTTGTATTTTGCAATTTAGTAAAGTTTAGATTTTGGCGGAAAATTACGTCAGTAACCTAGTAAAATATGTAGAAAAGAAGACCCCCCTTTTACCCAGGAACTAAAGCAAAAGTACCCATGCTTTAGAAAAGGTCGAACTGATAGCGAAGCGGAGTGCATTACTTGCGGCTTCGGTAGTACGTCTCTGTGGCGAATAAAGGCCAGCTTAGTTTACAGTTGCACGTTGATAAGACAAAAAAGGAATTACTTCATTGTCATCACTTCGTCCATTGCACTTCTATATTCAATCTTATAGCATTTAGTAGATATATAATGTATATTTCAGGCACAAGAGGTTCTACCAAAAGATGTGTCCTCCATTTAGGGTTTAGAAATACGGTCACTCTACAGTTACCGACTGACTTACCGATAATTTTTTTACTTTTGTTACAGTTCGGAGAAGAGCTCTAGGATGACTAGATTATCACTGCTGGCAATTGTTTTATCGCCAAGAAAGAAATTCAAAGAACTGTCATAAAGTCCAATTAAAACGGTATCGGTATTTCTTAGGACCGAAAAAGAACAATTTTATTTATTTTCATACAGGCACATGCTTTCTAGCCTTGAGATTTTAAAATTTCCAATATACTGAAATATGGTTCTCTATAACAGGCAGCCAATTTAAAAACATCGACTATGGAACAAAAAGTTTGCTTCGCCTTTCCACCAGCAAAATTATAATCTAAGGAAAAGAAATAAAGCTGTTGTGTATTAAATAAATACCTGAATATGTAGAAGCAAATTAACCTTTGTTGCATATTGTATTGCAAAATAAAAATTAACCACAGATACATTTTAAAGTGTTCTTTCGTTAATTTCTGTCAAAAAGTACCTTATTTGAATATTTTTAATACGTTGCTTAAATTTAAGCAAATTTTGTATAATTTTATGTTTATCTCCTACACTTTTTTATTTATATTTTACCTACGTATTTTATACGTAAGGGTTCCTGTGTCAAAAAAATGTTGGATTAAATTTGAGCGTTGGTTTCTCTGTTTATTTCTTCTTGTTTTGATGAGAGCAGACCGTCCCCAAGTCATTAAAGCTTTTATTAATAGATTCATAGTAATAACGAATTCTGCACCAGTATCATTTCTCTTCGAATGAAATATGCATGGTTTGCTGTTCCAATGATTATTTATTTCCTAGCTGTCATATGTAGAAATATTCCAATTATACAGGGTGTCTCAAAAGTAAGTATACACTTTTGATTTTGATTTTCTTCTCAGGTACTCATCATAGAGCGTTGATTCCTTCACAAAACATAGTATGGATAAGTAGTTAAATTCAGGTATTGTTTGCATTTTTCATCAACCCACAGAATAAGAAGGAGCTTGACCCCAAAATTGCTGTTTGGCAAGAAGCAAGTAATTCAGTAAGGCACATGTGTGTGAAAAATGTACACAATACCTAAATTTTACTACTTGTCCATACTGTTTTCTGAATAAATGAACGCTATATGTCCATGATGAGTACCTAAAAAGCAAATCAAAATTAAAAGTGTTTACTTACTTTGAGACACCCTGTATATAGTGAAAGATGATTTCAAGGAAGAAATAGGCGCAATTCATTAACTTATCTTTCGGATAAATCTATAAGCATTGGTCACAAAAAAGGCCATTCTGCTTGATGCTGCATGATACATGCATTTTCACTTTGTGGTAAATATATGATTGTTATGAGTTTTGGTCGTACATAGCGATTAACGGATGTAAGTTATAAGCTCGGATTATGCGAAAAATAAGAAGACTAACCGGTTACTTTGAAACCGCTGATGGAACGTTCTATCGAAATAGATTGCTAGGCTAGTAGGATTTGAAACTATAACAAACAGCAGTCGTAAGCAGGCTTGAGACGAGGCAAGCCTTTAATCAAAAATGAAATGGTGTACCCATAATCATCGAAGGGAGGAGGGGGGCTTCAATCATTAAAATCGGTAGTCATGATATGGCGTTGCTAATGGATTCTTTCTGCATTCAAGTTTACCTAAAGCATTTGCATTTATATGTAAAATATCGATGTGTGGCAAGCAAGGTTACTGAAAAGATAAAGAATCTTTAACCCCAAACTATTTGCGCTGATTATTTTTGACTGGCTTGGGTAACTGAATTTAACTGAATCTCTGTCTCAGCCAAAGAAACGGAAAAGAGTTTTTATCTGTTATAAATCTGGGGAACTGTCAACTTAAAGCCCTATGTTCAAACACTAAACACCAAAATTTGTTGCAGTCACAGTACATGTACTGAATTTGTCAATAAATACACAAAATTTATTGTTACCAGTTCACCAGAAAGTGAAGTAGTTTTCTAGCATGGATGAATAGAAGGTGTTATTAAAAGAAACAAAAGTTAGGACATCCGTTATGATGCAAAAATATGGTTGCCATTTACATTTAGTTGTAGATTTTATATCCTGCATTCATCACGAAAGTAGGCTATATTTGGTAACAACTTGAAATCAAGAAAGGTAAGAAAGTCAAGGTTTCATACTACCAGGAATGTAAAGAATGTTTTTGTTGTAAAACCACCCATATCAAATTTCAACTCTCAAAACACTAACCGATTGCCATTGTCCTAGTGGCATTTGCTCAAATACTGCATATCCATCCGGTGTTTGTGTTAATCGTTCACGTCATGATAGACCGGGTCAATATAACGCTAACATATTCTTTGGCGATTTATACATATCTTTCAATATCTATATCTAAAGTATCTCATTGTTGCTACTAATTTTTAGCATTACCATTTATATTTAAACATACAGTGTCATTGTGTATCCGTGTATTTAGCTGATGATTCCTAGATTTTTGCCATCATTGATCTGCAGTTCGATATTACTATATCATTACAATTGGTTTAGTTCTGCTCATCAAAAGACGATTAATTTAGAAATCTTGACCAGTGATATTTCATACCCCCCCCCCCTCAGTATAACATACCCCTTTTCATAAAAAGTATTGATACATAAATGTTCACGGCACGTATCTATCAGGAGCACGAATGATTCTAGTTCGTGTTCTGCGTTGTCTGAAATTCGGAGTCACCGGTCTCTCGCTCGATTCCGCTTCATCTGAACGAGGAGTTTCAGAATTGTCCGCTCCATTTGACGTTAGTTGGGGCTCTGCATGCGAAGATGGTTCTTGTTTTATTTCCTTCTTGTCATCGTATGTTGGTCTCAAAAACCATCTATTCCGCCTGTAGTCTCTTCCATCGATATGACCTTGGAGACAATTGCTCAGTGCATGTACCAAATCTCCATCTCCCTTTGTTTTCAATAGGTATCACGAGCACTTTTTGCCCTTTGTGAAGCTTAGAAATTTGTTTTGTGCCACGATCGTAATATTTCTTAGATCTTGCACGTCTGCTCAATTTTCGATTTGACATTTCTCTCAACTTTCGGCGCGAGCAGTTTATTCAATATTGGAAGAAAACATCTTGTGCGACGGGACATTAGTCTTTGACTAGGAGAACTGTTCATACCATCTGTTGGCGTATTTCTCCATTCGAGTATAGCTTTATATACATCTGAACAGTCTCTACGTGCCTTTTTAATCAGATTCTTTGCTATCTTGACGGCTGATTCGGCTTTACCGTTCGACTTGCTATGCAGCGGAGATGACGTTCGACGCAGAAATTCCCAACTTTTGGCAAATTCTCGAAATTCAGCATTTGCAAATTGTGGACCATTGTCCGAGATCACTGTATCTGGTTTGCCATGTCTGCTGAAATTCTTCTTATATACAGCATATGATCACCGATCTCGCAGTTGCGTTATTCAGTTCGCCGAGTTCCCAGAAATCTGATCGACAGTAATTAAATATTAAAAATAAATCCATTCCTATTTTACACCATGGCTGGTTAGGGATTTCACTGCTTATTAACCGATTCTCGTTGATTGTCACGTGCATGTTCCACACATACACTACACTGACCAATATAGTCTTTGATTTCTTGGCTCCTTCGAGGCCAAAATACTATATTTCGGGCCTTTCTCATGCATGATTCAATACCCATGTGACATTCATGAATGCGTTCAAGCATTTCGGGCCACAGTGTCTTAGGAATTACTATTCTATGGCTTTTGTACAAAGCATTGTTTTGGTAGCCAAGCTCATCTCTACAATTCCAGAATTTTTTCAGACAATCATCGACTTCATCTTTTGTTTCTGGCCAGCCAACTCTAATTACTTTTTTAAGCATTTGCAATTGCTTATCATTCTGTGTATGATTCCGAATCTGTTTTAGTCGTTCATCTGCGACATATGCATAATCGGCAAAATTTATCTTGTTTAATTCATTTCTAAAGTTTTTTTTTTCGCCAATTTCAAAAATTTCAAAACCGTTTTTAGGGGGTTGTGGTATATTATCATTTGTGCACAACCTAGAGAGTGTATCTGCTATATGCATTTCTCTTCCAGGCTTGTACTGGACTTTTAAATTGTACTTTTGCAGTCTAAGCAGCATTCGCTGTAATCGTTTGGGTACTGCTAACAAGGATTTCCGAAAAATAGCATCTAACGGTTTGTGATCACTTTCCACAGTCACTTTTCGACCAAAAATATTATGATCAAATTGTTCGCATCCAAACACGATTTTCAAACTTTCTTTTTCAATTTGTTCCTAACGACGCTCTGTTGTCGTTGACGAACGCAAGGCAAAAGTAACAGGCTTACCTTCTTGTAACAGAGTTGCCCCTAATGCGACTTCGCTCGCATCACATTGTAACATTACCTCTTTTGAAATATCATAATATTGTAGAATTGTTGCAGTTGTTGCTAACGGTTTGATATTTTCACGCGCATCATCATGCTCTCGCAGCCATTTCCACTTAACATCTTTGTTCATCAATCTACGAAGTGGCTCACAAATTTCTGATAGGATGTTTAAGAAATTTAGCAAGATAATGAACAAATCCTACAACACATTGTACCTGTTGTACATTTATTAGTTTGGGCATTTCAACAACACCCTGAATCTTCCGTGGATCTGGTAAAAGACGCATATGATCGCATATGACGCAAAACATCTTCAATATTTAGAATAGGATAATGAGAACGTCTTAAAGCATTATTTAGGTCCTTTGGGTCCAAGCATATCTTCACTTTACCAGGTTTTTTAACTGCTACCATATTGCTAATCCAGTCGGTAGGTGTTGTAACTTTAGCAATTACCCCTTTGTTCTCTAATTCCTTAAGTTTATTCATAAGATCATTGCGTATTGCAAAGGCAATTCTACGAGGTTGATGCTTTACTGGTGAAGCTTTGGTATCTATTTCTAGATGATATTCTCCCGGAAAACAACCTAGACCTTCAAAAACATCAGCGTACTTTTCTGAAATATCATCAACTGTTAAACGATTTTCATGATGTTTGGCTACAATAGATTGTACAGTACCTTGACTTTGAGGTACATTGACCTGCAAAGGTTCCAAATCTTTACAAGTCCGAGCTGAAAGCAACGGATGTGGGCCTCTTTCCGCAACAATGAGACAAATTGTAATTCTTACCGTCGTGTTAGCATAGAAAGTTACATTGACCAATCGGCTTCAGCAAGCTACCATCATAAAACTTCAGCGTTACACTACCTTCTTTTAAAGCTGGATTTTTTGTGCCTAGGACCTTACAACAATCATTGAAGCTTATCACATTACTGGTCGAGCCGCTATCGAGCATACATTTGAACAGAACTGATTTTCGACCACCTTTCGCATGTAATTTCAAATCATTAAACCAGCGAACACCTTTAGACTGGATACTTCCAACAGTCTCAAAATTATAAGCAGAGTCGCTTGATTTATTGACATAATTATTAGCAGAGTAAAGCTTTCGATTAGTTTGTTTACAAACAGCAGCAAAGTGATTTTTCTTATGGCAAGCGTTACACAACACACCATATGTAGGGCAGAATCGAGCCCCCTTTCTGTGACTTCTGCCACAATATTTGCATATTATCTTTGCTGTATTGTTACCAGTCATTGATCTTC